CCCCCCCCCCCACTGATTTTTGGAGAAAAAGCCAAAGAAACAACACTATAAGGTGACATAGTAATTACACCTTGATGAGCATTTTTTAATTTTACCCCTTCATTTTGAAAATTACCCCTTCTTTTTTTGGGCAAGGGTTACGGTACTCCCTTAGAAAAATCCTACCGAGTGCACTGTTTATAGTAAAGGTAAAGAAGATTATACATGTGATTACAAGAATTGTATGAAGTGTACTCAGCTGTGCATTACAAGGACAGCATGCTCTATCTTGATGATGTTTTAATTGTAGTATTTCACCCCATTTCCATAGATTTTTAGATCGATCTATCCCTGTGGGGAGTCTCACTAGATTACTGTCAGCTTAGCCGGCTTAAGCGTCTGTCCTGCCTACTAAAAGCTGTAAGGGGGTAATTAAATATGGTGCCTGCTCGGCTGACTGCAATTTAGCGGGAACCCCCAGGGAGTTAGGTCAATCTAAATCTTAATCTTTAGATCGATCTAAATCTCTGGGAAAGCACCCTTTCCCAGTTTTTAGTACCCAGATGCAACACTGAAGACTACCTTTAAATATATAAATCAGGACTGTGATGCATTTTTTTAGTATTGCCCAATGACTTTCAGGAAAACATGCCCTCTATCTTTATGATTTGAGTTAGTAGAAAATATGAGTACTTTCACTTACCATTAACAAAATTTATTTTCAAAGAAGTGTTTATAGGCTTCCTGTCTGAAAATACTTGCTGGAATGTGTACGTTCCACTGTCTTCTGGTCTTGCAGCCTTTATTCGCATGCTTACATGTCCATTGTTAAGAATGGTCACGTTCATCCTGTCTTTCAGCCCAGCAAGAATGGTCATGTACCTCCTGTCTTTCAGCCCAGTAAAATTGGTAAACCGATGTATCGGCTCATCAGAATTTTGCACATGCTGAAATAGTTGCTGGGAATTCCACAAGACATAAGTCGAAAACACAGACTCTCTTACTGGTAGTTGAAAGCTACAGGTGAAGTCCTTTCCACTTAGTGCCGTTACATTTGCTGTAAACAAATTGTAATATCTATTTACTTGATGAATTAGGTATTAACACTTCTAGATATTTGAAAAGAGTTATGTATATTTACACAATAAGGATCAAATAAGAGAAGGAAATGTGAATGTTACCCTTAGTGCAAGAAGGTAAAAAGCTACATATTTGACCCCTATGCTGAAGTAGCCACATATTGTAACTATTTGGTTCACATTTGTTAAAGGACTTCCCTCAGAGATTACATGGCTTGGGCATAACATATATTGTTTTCAATAGCTCTCATCAATAAGAAAAAAAAACAATTAATTGAAGATCTTATCTGGAAATAGAAAAACTTTTCATTTCTTTTGTGCCCAATCACAATAAAAATGCTTATAGACATAACAGTTTGTGCTAGTTTATCAGACTTGCAAATTACAGACAAGGGTGCATTGTGACGAGCGCCCCACCCAGACCCGAGCACCCACAAAGCTAAAAATTTAAGTGGAACGCATCAAGTTTATATGTGACCTAAATCCAAGAGATGGGTACTCAGGCTCTTATAGTCTAGGAGGAGAAGTGATAGTGGTAACATGGCGGCGGAGGAGGTGGACGAGATGGGTAGGGACTAAAAGCACGTGCACTGCCAGCAACACACTGGTGGTACAATAATGCTTATACCTATTTCACTAAATATAATTTAATCTCTGTGGAAACTTACCATTTTTGCATGTCTCCTCTAGGTTGGCTGTAACTGGCGGCATTATGGTAGAAGCAATAAAAAAAATCAGCAACTTTTTCCAAATTGGCCATGGAATCCATCCTGTGAAATATGAAAACATAAATTCATTGCCACTGCAAAATACATCTATAATGGTTACATGAAAAAACACACAGCAGTGTGTTGGACGAGAACAGTGGAGTTAAGGCTACCAAAAACAACACAAGCAGATCTATTTATTGAATTCAGATAGAATACTTCTGACCTGAAAATCACTGCAGTGATCACTCACATGATAAATTCCATAGCCCATACTGTGAATTGCAAGGGCACACTAGATTACAACATAGTTATTTAACAATCTAGGTCTAATTAGTAACATTGTTAAAAATAATACTTTGTGGCAACTTTATATCTGCTTCAGATCCTTTTAATTTTTTTTCTTCTTTCTTCCTTCCTGCTTCAGCTCCAGACTGGCTTTGGTCCTAAAAATAAAACCAAATGCTCAATAACACTTATTATGGAAATTGTACCAAATTTAAATGTCTTAAATGTCTGTCACACCTAGTAAAACTGTTAGGGTGTAATCATCTTTACCCAAGTTCGGTAGGCATGACAGACATTTGAGCTGGTTGAGTTGACAGCAATTTAGTGAGACTCCCCAGGAAGTTTTACTGATCCAGATGATCGATCTAGGCATGAGAACCCGCTCTAATTGTCACTGGGATGTACAACACTTGGGGGGGGGGGGGGGTTGTTAAGGGATGGTTTATTTTGACATGAGCGCCTACGGCATTGACTCCAGCTTGATGGAGCCATCAACATACACGGCTCTGTTATGATATTTCACCTTTTTAAATCCAGTCTTGGACTTTATCTAAGTCATATCAAAAACATAGTAGAAATGGTTATTTGCATTACTGAGAATCCACACTCTTTTTAATAAATGTAACTTTAAAATGTTTTGGCAAAAAAATAAATTAATTAAATTGTGGGAGATAAATCCCAGCAGTTTTGCAATTGGCCCCTTAAACATCTTCAACAATAATTTTTTCAGAATTAAATTATGTAATGACATAAGTATTGTCTGCTATTCCAATAATACAAGAACTGTAGCAATGCCAGGGGTGTTTCTTATAAAGATAGAAATGGACCGATATTTACTTCTAGGTATGCATAGCAAACCTCTCTGAGATGGCATTTGGGTTCTTCTTCATAAAAAAAACCTACCTTTTGGCACAAGAAAGATGGTTTATTTATCTTTTTGGCAATCAGAATGGTCCACAGGTAATCAAAGTCTTATCTTACAAAGAGTACTTACGTCTACGTTCTATTATCATGTTGCATACATTTATGCAGCTTCTGTTCTGGTACTTTAGTCTAAAATTTATAGTTTGAATTATTAAATTGGGGTCTTTCATATGTCTAATTCTGTTCTAAGTTCGAAAAGTGAAGCAAGTTGTTGCCTCGTTCGCGAAAATGGCGACCAGTGAATGACCGATGACCTTGTCTTGTCCTCCAAAGATGTAATAGCGAAAAGGTTCAATAAAACTCATTTCTGAAGCAAAATTAAGTTTATTTATACGATACAGAAACCAAATGCGATCTCAGAAAGGTTCGTTATGCGTATTCTTACAGTCGGTTACCGGATTACTGAACCCAGAACGAGGCTCTCATTTTGGACTAGGGTAAAACATTGGCTTGCGCCCATAACTCTCAATGTTAAATTGGTGAACTTTGATCGTTCATATCAAGCAGACCAGAGGACAATTACTAGTGACAACCACTTGGTTATATTCACTAGGGTTTTTAGTGTCAGTCAATGGGCCTCAGGAGGATTTTCTAGAGCTAATGGTGATTTTATCAGCGATAATACCAACACTCCTCCATGGCCAACGGGCTGCAATTTCAGTTTACACCAGATGCATGTTGTAATAGGTATATTTTATCGTTTGTATCAAGTATATCTGTGAACAAATACGCGTGACAACTGTTTGTTGATATTCACTTACGTATTTAGCTCAGGGAAATGGCCATCAAAAGGATTTTCTAGCGTCAGTGGCGACTTTATCAACGATGGTGGTGTACTATTTTTAAAGCAATTTTTCCTACTGGAACACTATGACGTATACGCACCCAGTTCATTAATATACAGTCAGAATTCTTGTATAATAAAATCATTATCTAAACAAAGAAAACTATTATATTCATATCGCTTTTAGAGGTCTCAGTTTGAAAGATTTGATAAGCTAGAAAAAGGGGCTTGGGTAGCACTGCTAAGTCCTGTCGTGTTCAAAGCAGGTGTCTGAAGTAATGCAATTAATGTGCTTTCAAAAAGAGAACTTTTAAGTTTTGCCTCGACAAAATGTTAAAAAATTCAGATAAGTACTACATGGAAGTTTTTGTAATTTATTCTGTGTAAACTACTAAAGTTAATGAAATTTGCAATTTTATGCTAAAAAATCATGAAAATTAAACCATGCGAAGTATAGTTTATTTGATGCGCAACATTTATAGTACATGATCTGCACCGAAGCCATCCCAGCCATGTGATTGTGCAGTCGCCAATTTGGGTTAGTTTTTGGGTCATTAGATTAACATAGAGCCCTAATTGGTCATAAGCATTTTGAGCTGCAGCTACAGCTGAGTGATTACTGCTGGTCAGTGGTCATGGGTCTTTAGCTGAAAAGTGTGGACACTTTTGGTGAAATTTTGCAGTTAAAATACTTCAATATCTATGTTGCTTGTAGGAATATTTTAAAAATAAAATTTTAAGAATTCATCTGTTTTTTGCATTACTTTTCAGAAGATATAAGTATTTTAACTTTCTGATCAGTTTGAAAAATTTTCTGATATACCTAAATAGTTTCAAAAGCAGACTTGAAAAGACCTTCCACTCTAACTGCGATGAACCCCCACACTCCAGGGATATGGCTACAATAACTCACAATAGAACCAAGGGAAACAAACACAAGAGAGCCGACAGCTGGGGCTCTTGGGTGAGTATTTTGACGTGACCCATCATAGGTTGCATAGGTAGGCAGTTGCAAATGTGATTCAGCAAAAAATTGGAGAAAAAATCGGGAGACGAATTGAACCGGCATTTAAAAATATCTTCTATTACCATGAATATCTAACCATTATTTCAAGTTTAGTTCAGAAAGTACCAATCCGAAACTATGTTATCACTTTTAAGCTTTCACTTTAAAATAATTTCAATGGGATACTACAACCAAATACACAATAACAAATTAGAGCGTACTCACCATTATGGAACTTCCACTCTAAATACATGTGCGCATGTCCCAATTCTTTGTCGATAGAGGTCACTGCTGTAAACCTCCCTTTGGTTACCCGTTCTGCTGCTCATTAATTTTTCCCACTAGTCCTGATATACAGAGTGCAGAGACTTATAGGTTAAGGTCTGAGTTATCTTATCAGATATTGAAGCTGGGTTAGTCCATATCTTTTCCAGATCGTTCATGTTAAGAATGGTTTTTATACCATATAAACACACCGGATGAAGATAAGGACTTGTTCTATCTTGGTTATGACAAGGAGTTATAACCAAAGGGAGGTTTACAGCAGTGACCTCTATCGACAAAGAATTGGGACATGCGCACATGTATTTAGAGTGGAAGTTCCATAATGGTGAGTACGCTCTAATTTGTTATTGTGTATTTGGTTGTAGTATCCCATTGAAATTATTTTAAAGTGAAAGCTTAAAAGTGATAACATAGTTTCGGATTGGTACTTTCTGAACTAAACTTGAAATAATGGTTAGATATTCATGGTAATAGAAGATATTTTTAAATGCCGGTTCAATTCGTCTCCCGATTTTTTCTCCAATTTTTTGCTGAATCACATTTGCAACTGCCTACCTATGCAACCTATGATGGGTCACGTCAAAATACTCACCCAAGAGCCCCAGCTGTCGGCTCTCTTGTGTTTGTTTCCCTTGGTTCTATTGTGAGTTATTGTAGCCATATCCCTGGAGTGTGGGGGTTCATCGCAGTTAGAGTGGAAGGTCTTTTCAAGTCTGCTTTTGAAACTATTTAGGTATATCAGAAAATTTTTCAAACTGATCAGAAAGTTAAAATACTTATATCTTCTGAAAAGTAATGCAAAAAACAGATGAATTCTTAAAATTTTATTTTTAAAATATTCCTACAAGCAACATAGATATTGAAGTATTTTAACTGCAAAATTTCACCAAAAGTGTCCACACTTTTCAGCTAAAGACCCATGACCACTGACCAGCAGTAATCACTCAGCTGTAGCTGCAGCTCAAAATGCTTATGACCAATTAGGGCTCTATGTTAATCTAATGACCCAAAAACTAACCCAAATTGGCGACTGCACAATCACATGGCTGGGATGGCTTCGGTGCAGATCATGTACTATAAATGTTGCGCATCAAATAAACTATACTTCGCATGGTTTAATTTTCATGATTTTTTAGCATAAAATTGCAAATTTCATTAACTTTAGTAGTTTACACAGAATAAATTACAAAAACTTCCATGTAGTACTTATCTGAATTTTTTAACATTTTGTCGAGGCAAAACTTAAAAACGTCCTCAAATCAAAGTTCTCTAAGACTGCAACACGGAAAATCACGTGACCGGAATTTACTCTTTGATTTACAGCTTATCTAGTAAATGGCTTTTATTTGTTTATTAACACGGTGCTAAAAGAGAGATTTAAAAAAAGTTTGTCATAGGCGAGCTGATAGCAGGCCAGTCTCAGTTTTGCACTTCACTGCCCCTGGATAGTTACTACTGTGGCGCTCCTAGTGGATTGTGATATACCTAAACTATTGATATACGGTGCTGTCACAACTAATTCAGGCTCAATCTTAAGAAACTTTGTTGTTCTGTTTTCAGGGTCAGAACCAGTCTGGAGCTGGAGCAGGAAGAGATGGAGATAAGAAGGATGACAAGGTAAATGTGCTGAATAATTGTATGAAATAGTTAATGTAATGCCAGTTATATGGGGCCAGTCATTTTGTTCCTGAGAATTGAACCAATCAATAACTGGAACAGATGTTGCATCATTATTTTTAGCAGTTTAATATTCATCCCCCCCCCCAAGAAAAAAAATGGCTTGAAGTTAATGTTGACCAGTTGCAAGTTTGTTTTCAATGTATTTTTGATCAGCATTTCATTTATAAGTTACAAAATCCCATGTATTTGTACATGTACATGTGATTTTTCCCTAGGATAAAAAGAGAAAATATGAGCCCCCAATCCCTACAAGGGTGGGGAAGAAGAAGAAAAAGGTGAAAGGACCTGATGCTGCTATGAAGTTACCACAAGGTAATGTACTCTCACTTACATTATTACTTATTAGGCAGAAATTGTTTCAATAACTGTAATTGCAATTCTTGGCACAGGCTATGGAATTTATCGTACATCAATAAGTACAAGAGTGTTTTTCATGTCAAAGTAAATTAATCTGAATTGGGTTATTTTGACACTCTTTTTGTTCCCCTGATCAGTGATGGTATTCTCATCCAATAAACTACTGCATTTTCGCCTCATAACCATAATTATATACAAAGAGAATTGGTAATGACAGTGGAAATTGATATAATATAACATTCTTCAATGCAGTTACACCCCACACAAGATGTCGATTAAAGTTGCTGAAACTAGAGCGTATCAAGGACTATTTGCTAATGGAGGAAGAGTTTCTCAGAAATCAAGAAAGACTCAAACCCCAAGAAGAAAAGCAAGAGGTTGGTGTGGACAGTGGTTGGTGATTATGTTTGATGAGGGTTTTTAACTATGTCTCTGAAACATCCAAGATGGTGATAGTTTGTTCTCTTCATGGGCAAAGTCAAATGTAAGACACAAGCAAGCCAGCAAATCTGAGGCACCTTATAATATATATATATATATATATATTCTGTTTAACATGCATGCTATAACAAGCATTTCAATCTAAGGACACAGTTATACTTTATATACTAGTGGTTGTATAGAAAGATTCTAGTTCCTATGGTAAGTATCATGTCATTATTTATAACATGTGGTTGTTTATTCCTTCTTTTTTGCAAGCTATAAAAAAAGTTGGAGACTATCTTTTTGAACCAAAATCATGTAAATGTTTTGATGAAAACTAAAAAAAATCAAGGGTAAAGCTTGGAAGAAGAAATAGTGGTCAGTTGAAAATGGCAAAAGAATCTCTTGCTCATCATGCAAACTTAAAACCAATTCAGACTGTCATCCTGTTAATGGCAATGATATTAATAAAACTATTTCTTTGTTTTTTAGGAGGAACGGTCCAAGGTGGACGACCTCCGCGGCACACCTATGTCAGTGGGTAACCTGGAGGAGATCATAGACGATAACCACGCTATTGTGTCCACATCTGTAGGCAGTGAACATTACGTCAGCATTCTCTCCTTTGTGGATAAAGATGCTCTGGAACCAGGCTGCTCTGTCCTGTTAAATCACAAAGTATGTACAACTGTGATTTCATTATAATACACTGATGAGACTTTTCCAACTTTTGTTAGAATTCAGACTTTTTCAGGTTCATTTGGGTCATTTTTGTGAATCATGTACCCTGGACCCCTGGCCAATTTTTCTACTTTTTCAGTGAGGACTGGTCTCTTCCCTGTTTAATATAACTAATTTTATTATCAAGTACAAGAAGATTATGTTTTCAACTCCTTCTGATTGTTTGTCCCCAATCTCACTAAAAAAAGTTTTGGGTGGATTTTGATGAAATTTTCATGATAGGTTCAGTAATGGGATAACTGAAGAGTGAATGGATTTTTGGTAGCAGTCCAGATTACCATCTGGATCCAGGAATTTAGACCACTTGTTACTGTGTTGTGCAATGGATGTGATCTCAACTACCACAATTTATCATTCATAAAAAATAATGAGAATTGAACTTTCTTGGTGGAGGTCTGCACCAGACATGAGCTTTTTCCATGGAAACACGGAATTCTGCATTTTTAAAATTCAATTCTGATGGTTCTCGATATTCGTCTTGTCTGAGATTCAATGTTCAGAGTTTTTTTTTTTAAACCTAGGTTTACGTCTGCTGCACTTATCTGGTTACCATGTGTAATTTTCAAGGAATTATTGAAAAATCTTTTTGTATGAATTAAGATGAATGTAAGAAGCTTAGATATGTGAGGTACTATTTCTCTTCAGTTTAAAGTTTTTTTCAAGAACCGTTGAAATCCAGCTATTAGATGATTTGGTTAAACTGACCTTCAGTTTGTACTGATTGCTGTTTTTAAATGGTTTTTATTTCAGGTTCATGCAGTGATAGGAGTTCTATCAGATGACACAGACCCTATGGTAACTGTAATGAAGTTAGATAAAGCGCCGCAGGAGACATACGCAGATATAGGGGGGCTGGACCAGCAAATACAAGAAATAAAGGTTAGGTGTATGGCTTTATGGAAAGCACAGTGTTGTAAATAAACTCAATTATTTATTGGAAGTTTGTTTCCACCTATATGTTTAGGCATTACTCTTTCAAAAATATTGGATAGTGAACCTCAAAATTTTTAATTTTGTGAAAAAAGAATAATTATTTTTGAATATTATACTTACAAAATAAGATTCAGATATTTAATCACTGCAGAAAAATTTGATTTGAAAAACTTTTTTTTTTTACAGGAATCAGTAGAGTTACCACTAACTCATCCAGAATACTATGAAGAAATGGGAATAAAGCCTCCAAAGGGGGTCATTCTTTATGGACAACCTGGGACAGGTAATGATTTTATCACTTATGTCTGTTCTTATTGTGACTTTATGGACAACCTGAGACAGGTAATGATTTTATAACTTATGTCTGTTCTTATTGTGATTTTATGGACAACCTGGGACAGGTAATGATTTTGTAACTTATGTCTGTTCTTATTGTGACTTTATGGACAGCCTTCATAGCTCAGTCCATTAGACGGCCCCTCTCTCTGTATAAATGATATGTGGTTTGGTGAATTTTATTCCAAAAAAATTCAGGAAATGGAGAATATTTGTACTTTTTCTACTTGATAGAAATAGGTTGTATGGAAAAATATTGATATGATTTACAATTGACATGTAGGTCATTAACATTATCCAACTTTGTTTCTTGAAATTAGAAGTGTGTATGATATTATACCAGTAAATATTTGATTAAATGGTGACAATAGATGTTTATATTTGCGCGTTTTTATTTTCAGGAAAAACACTTTTAGCTAAAGCTGTTGCTAACCAGACATCAGCTACATTTTTGCGGGTCGTTGGCTCAGAGCTTATACAAAAATATTTGGTGAGTAGGACTTAGAGATGGCAGTCTGCTTCATTGCTGGGTAATAGATTTAGCATAATTTAAGTTTTTAAGGTCAAATTCGTGAGGTTCTGTTATTGAATTTAGTTGAATAAAAATCAGAAATGCGAAATATAAAGATGTGATGCATAAGAAAATAAAAATACAATACAATAATTTAATACAATGATGTTATATTAATAGTAATCACTCCCTTTGGAACAAATATAGAAGTGAAACAGCTACATTTGAATCTTGTCACTAGAGCATCATCAGGATCAATGCCCACAGGTTGATGGGTGCTGGTAGACCTATTAATAATTATCACTCAGGGTAGTAATTGGTTTGTAAGTGATCACTACCGCTAAATCATCAGTAAATATAATTTCTTGTAACTGTTGACAATGTTATCGACAACATAATATGTATTAATTTGGTAACAGAAATTCTCAATTCTTTGTAAACAGGGTGACGGCCCCAAGCTGGTCAGAGAACTATTCAGAGTGGCGGAGGAGCATGCGCCCTCTATTGTCTTCATTGATGAAATTGACGCTGTTGGCACAAAAAGATACGAGTCTAACTCGGGTGGAGAGAGGGAGATTCAGAGAACTATGTTAGAGCTGTTGAATCAGCTGGATGGGTTTGACTCAAGGGGAGATGTAAAGGTGAGAATTGATTTTTAGACAAAATGTCAGCAGCTTAGATAACAACACACTGTAAACTTCAGATAACCTTGAGTAAAAATATGAAAATATATGAAATAAAATCTTAGTTAATCACATGATATAATTTATTTTCTTTTAACTGGAGCATTTGAAACATGAAGATGAAATTTAATATTATTGAAGTATCAAAAATATTGGAAAGTTAAAACTTAATTTTCATCTATGTTAACAGCAATTGTAAAGAGACAAAACCGTTTTCCTCTTAAAAGTTACATGTGTAGTCAGTGAACTTGTCCAGACTATATTCACAACAATTTGACCCCACCTTCAGGTTGTGATGGCCACCAACAGAATCGAGACCCTGGACCCAGCCTTGATCAGACCAGGTCGTATTGACAGGAAGATAGAATTTCCGCTGCCAGATGAGAAGACAAAGAGAAGAATCTTTACCATTCATACCAGCAGGATGACCCTAGCTGACGAGGTCAACTTGGAGGAACACATCATGGCCAAGGATGACCTGTCTGGGGCAGATATCAAGGTACTGGGGGGGAGCAATATGTGTGTTGTGCTGGGCGTTTCATAAATGAGTGTTGTAGTTTTAGGTCTACCTTGGAGTTGATGAAAGACGTCCCATTAGACAAAGCTTGACATAAAAAAGGGGGGAGGCAATAGAGACTTGGATGATGAAATGAAAACATATCCTCCTCTAAAAATTATTAAGTGTTTGATTAATTTTCTTTTAAAGATTTGCAGGTTATAATATTGTATGTAATTAATGGATATTATAAATTTATAAGAAGGTAGTATGAAAATCAATCACAGAAGCCTGTAATGAATAATAACACAATAGTCAAAGATTCCTGATCTATAAAGGTGCTCTATCTCATTTCCAGGCTATCTGTACAGAGGCAGGTCTTCTAGCTCTACGTGAGAGAAGAATGAAGGTCACTAATGAGGACTTTAAGAAAGCCAAAGAGAATGTTCTCTACAGAAAGAATGAGGGCACACCAGAAGGACTGTACTTGTAACCTTGACACTGTGTTTATCAACTACATAGTAACTCAGCAGACATCAGCTTATCCTGGCTGTGTGTCATTTTGAATATGCTGTGAACATATTTCAGTGACATAGGCAACTCATTCCTCGGATATTGAGCAAGGCATACAATCTGAGCTGATTCAGTTTGGATAAAAAAATTTTCCCCTTTTGGCATCAACATGGATAGCAATGGACACGTAAACTAAAGTGCATCTTGGGAGTGCATTTTTAGCAGAGGGTAGTTATTCTGTTACTTGAAAAGGATGTATGTTGTCTTTGGACATAAAAACAGCCAATTGAAAAAGGGAAAATTGAAAATGAGGGGGGGTATGACATTGCTCTTAAATATTGAATAAAGCATTTGAATTAATTAATTTCTTTATTATATTTCTCAATTCCATTCATTTTTTAAAATTTATTTTATTTATTTATTTATATTTCATTTATTTATTTAGATCAATTTATTATTATTAATGCAGTTGTCAACACTGGACTTAAAGTGTCACAATCAATATAAAATCAGTTTGGTTATGTAAAAACCAACTAATAAGTACAAGATGTGAAACGTGCACTTTCAGCATGGATATAGATGTGATCCAAGCATTAAAATTTTAGTTTGTGCGATGAAATAATGAACGAATACAGTTCAGTTTTCTTAAGTTTTATTTAATAAACTATGATATTCTAGTATAATAGGGGAAACAACATGCACCTGAACCAGTCAGTGGACATAAAAACCCTGTTAAAATTCTAATATTCTACAGTCAAAGCGCTGGTTGAATAATCCGGGGTGCCATGAATCGACCATCTTTTCATTAGTTGTGTGAGCATAAAATCATTTTCAAGAGACTCACAGTGGGTATATACTGATATGGGAATAAATGGCCCCCGAATCGAACACCTGGGTTAAAAAATATTCTTAACCTTTTCGAATGCAAGTATACAAATAACATGATTGAAGTTTCTATTATATAAACTGCCTCGAGACTGAAATTCCTAGATGAACAAACTAAAAAAATTATACTCTTTTCCATCGTTTGGCCCAGAACTTGGATACTTAATCACCCTGCATTGTTAGTCTACGAGTGTACATTCAACATATTAATGTGTTTGTCCGTTGTCATGGTAAATTGAATGGCTGTAAAGAAGAAAAAACGGAAAACGGTTCACAATGCACCGGTCGATATTTCGCGCACGGGAAAATGTGATAGAACGCCGGCACCTCGCAGGATTAGCCGCTGATATAGTTTGCAGACAGATCGATTTTGAAAACACATTAATAATTGCTGGCTGCCGTTATAGTAGTCGACAGACTGATCGCACCGAGATTTAGTGTCAATGGCTTAGTTTTCTCCCCAACACCAGCAAAGAACGTTTATCATCTCCATTAATTAGCTCTGGTGGTGGAATTCCATGGTCAACAGTTTATAACTCAGGGCGAGACATTTTCGTGTATGCTCACAATATTTATCAGATTCTGCGTCTAGTTTTTTTTCTCCTTTAAATGCGTAACAACATACAACCTGCCTTTGTCCTGCGTAGGCTAGCGCAGTTATGTAAGGTCGTTGAGCTTTCCCTGGTTGTACATTGTATGGTAAGGAACTAAAAGCGACAGCGCTTTTTCTTCTTCTTTACGAACACACCCATCTCGATCCACCTAAATATTAGTAATTATTACTTTTGTGAAACAATGTTAGGATACTAAATATATTTGATCGTATCCTGTCCTGCTTAGGCTATTGCAGTTATGTTATTGGTAAGATCGTTGATGTTTTCCCCTGGTTTCATGCGTAATAGTTAAGTCCCAAAAACCATAACGTTCTCTCTTCTTCTTAACGTGCACAGCCATCTCCATCCACCTTAAGATTACTTTTGTCAAACAATACAAGTATACGAAATAAATGGCGTTTTACTTTTCACCTTTCAAGGTTGGAAATTCCTTCACAGTTTTCTATTCACAACTACCCAATCTGTAGCCTACGTCTTTTTAGTAATCTAAACATTTCCCTACTTCCTACATCAAACTCTCACACGCTAATCTTTATCACAGATATCACAATTATACTAGAACATTCATAATAATAATAATACATTTAGAAAGAAGGACACCGCCTCATTTCTTGGCAATTTTCGACTGACTCGGCTTCTTCTTGGACTTGGAGCTAAGGGTGACCCGGCCGGCGGGACTTGGGGATTTACTGGTCGCTCGCATCTTCCTCTTCTTCTGTACTTCAGCCACGTGAAGTTTCAAGTTCGGGAAAATCTCATTGTGTTTTTCCAGGAGTGGTATATATTGGTATTTTCCTGGTAAAGGAGAGGAGGAGTCGCCGTCCCCGTTGTAGTTGTCATCGTCTGGTGGGAGCATCTGTTTCTCCACTAGGATGTAAGTGTTGTGGGAGACCAGATATTTGGTTGCATAATCGTGCTTGTGTGCATCCAACTCCTTTATCAAACCTGCAAATATAGAAATCTACTTGAGACGACATTTTAAATCGAGAAATTGGCACTCTTCAGATAGCATGTAAACTAATGATGACATGATTAACGACTCTGGATCAATAAACGCTATATAAAACCTCCCATCCACGGGCTGATGTTTTATTTACTTGGTTAGCTTATCTTTAACTTTTTCATTAATGAACTAGAATGATAAAACGTTGTTATTTGACCAAGCCGATTAACTCTTATGCACGACCGACATTTTTCAGGTGCTTATAATCAAGGAGTTATAACAGAAGGAGATTACACGCAAGCCTCTCTATTGTCCGATGCNACAAACGAGATTTAAACGAGAGTAGCAATTAAGCGTAACAGAGATAGGCATCTATTGTTCTCTGGGTTCTATTCATTCCGACCAATGAGAGACCGTAATACGGGCTCCGCCCCCACGCGTGTAATCTCCTTCTGTTATAACTCCTTGTTATAATGAAGTGAAAGAGTACATAAATACAAGTTGTTAAATAAACCATACCGGTCCGGCAGATATTCAGTTATTTCATTTAAAGGGGGATAGGGCGAATTCAGCAGATTTTCATGGCTTGTCATATGTATTGTAATTAGTATAGTGAACGATAGTAGTACTATTCTAGTAGTAATAGTAGTACCGACCCGGTAGTACATGTAGTAGAGTACGTTTAGTAGCGATGTGTCCGAAGAGAGAAAACTTCGTAGACCACTGTACATAATAGTATAAAGATTTGACTGGTATTAACACGATGAAACGTAACACAATTCAAATGCTAATTTGATTAACTAGCAATACGTGTCGGGATCTAAAAAACTTAGCGTTAGAACTCATATGGCGGTTCCTTATCTTAGTATCAAAAGTTCACGGAAACGATCTTGGAGCCGGGTAGCACTTTTTCTCAAAATCACAGCCGAGTTTTGCTGCATGAAGATACTTCATTAATTTAACGTTCCACTTGATATGGAATCAAGTAACCCCCTACCGACCCTCACCTGTTTCGTCGGACAAGTCCAGGCTAACTGGAGTGTTACCGAAGCCTGTCCGTTTCTTAATGTTGTTGAGCAGGTTCACTACGGCACAGCTCGGGTTGCAGATCAACTCCTCGTTGTTCCCGTATTTAACTATAATAAACATCGTCTTAAATAATATAGATTCTCTCTCTAGCCTTCATATAGTCCATGGAGTATTTCGAGAGATCTCCATCTAGCTCGACCTTATTCAGTATGTTCAAGGCTTTTGGTTAAACAGTGATGTGATAGGCTCTGTGTGACCTACTGCTTGCAGTAAGCCCGTATCCCATAGCGACCTTGTTATTCAAATCTCGTTTAGTCACCCCCCACAAACATTAAATCCGTGTCATTCTGTTCCGAGCCAGCGAGACGGAATCGCATGGATTGTGCGTCCGTGACTGTAAATGGAGCCATTAAAGCGTTTGTTTGAACTGAAAATAAAACAATTCTTATCGAGTTGTGACGTTGTTGGTATTGTAATGTTAGAGCCGACCCAGGATTGCTCGTGTATTAATCAAAGTTTCAGGGGCAAATGATAATAATAATGATAATTTTCACAAATCGTCTAGGTTAATGTACAAAGAAGTGTTGCATTTAAAGCGCAATTAACCCGCTCAATTTTGTATTTCTGTTGATTATAATTGATAATATCATGGGTAATGTTTATTATATGATTAACTACATATTTTACCCACTCACGCATCAATTCTTCTGTTCATTCAGTTTTTTCCTCCCAATAAAATAAGGTCGTTTCCACGTTTTTAAAGCCGTTTTTATCCAACTTAGGACCTATTGTAAATTATTCTATTGTTAGAAATTGTGTTTGGCATAAAAAGGACAATTTATTGAATGCTCTTTTAAGATGAATAATGCTTTTTTTTTTCTTAAAAGATATATATGACTACGTTTTTTTTTTTTTTGTTATTTCTGTTTTTAATTAGTAAATTTTTCTTGAAAAAATGTACAATTCAAGTTTGCTTCCAACAAATAAATGAAAAACCCCGAATAGATTACACAAAATAAACATATGCAAATCACTGTATTCGCGATAGAGCACTGATGTCGTGCAAGTCTTTATTTTATGGAATTTTCACCACGGTGAAAACAATTTCTACCGCGGTGAAAATAAAACTTAAATGAAAATATAAAAAAGTTAATATGATACTAACAAAGCTCTGTACCTTCCGTTATTCTGGCAGATTCACTCACACTATTTTTATTTCCACATGAAGTGGTCTTATTTTTATTATTTCAGAAAACATCTGATAATTATATTTCACTGCTTTTGGCGAAAGGGTTCTACAGCCCAATGGCAGATTGCGCGCGTCTTCTCTAGCGCAATGTTGCTGCAGTACATCGCTGCATTGTGCTTGCAATAAATACGAGAGGAGAGACTGGGATAATTCTTGTGCGAAATAAACTTTTTACTTCCACTCGATCCTTCAGATTACGTTTACAACAACGCTCCCCTGCAACGGATTTCATGTAAAATAGTTCGCATACCAGGGTACGCACTTCTTAAAATCACAAAAGACAATTCCTTCATAACACATTTATTTTTCACTCACTTGTAAATTTTCTTGTCAACAAAACACAACACCTAAAGAGCTAAATATAAGTTGGAATTAGACATCTTGCATCTGTTATTAGGGGAGGGATGTCTTCATAAATATGGTCTGACTGCATACTATCCAGATTCATACTCTTGCATAAAATCCAATCTTTACATCACTCAATGTTTTAAAGCATATTTATGAAATTTAATTCTTGTGATGACTCCCACACCAAGTACATGAAAATATCCTCACAAATTTTCTTTTATGCACTCTAAAATTTTGAAAAGTTCAAAAACCTTTTTCAAAAAGGGTGATGCTGGCAAATTGTATAAGAGCTCTATTATTTGTTTGTCATATCAAAAAAGTGCTTCTTCTGTTTTTTTTTTTTTTTGATTATTATTATTGTTTTGTAGTTTCAAAAAACAAATAACCCAACATTTTTCCTTTTCCCACTAGCTCCATATATCCCCTAAAACTGATGTTCTTTTTTTAGGAACTGGGCTCTCCCTCTGATGTGAATGATCTTCCTTGTGCAGCATCTTCACCAACATCATCCTGGTAGCAAAGGCCTGGCTGGTTTGCTTGCGGTACACAAAGTACGATCCAAGCAGTCCCAAGAGGACTGCTCCCATGATGCCTCCCACTGTTATCATGGTAACCGTTAGGTCCTCGGGATGTTGTGCTCCATATGTCTGTACCGCAAAGGAGATTTCTAAGTCACAGAAACTGAAATATGAGAAATAATGTTGGGTGATACAGCTGAACCACTGATTGACAAAATAATATAAATAAATTAAACATATAAAATAAATTGACTAATTTTGTCCTACTTTTTAACTTCTTTTCTGCAGCCTGCAATAATGTCTGAAAGGCATATTAAATCTTCTGATCTCCAGTTAAAATAATTATTCAAAAAAGGTTGCATTACATATGCTAAGTACAAATGCCAGATGGTCTTACCTGTAGTTGGGGTCTACAATTCTGGCCCGGAAGGTATACATACTGTCGTGGGTGTTAGGGAACTGTAACCAAGACACACCTGTGGAGTTCAGAATCTGATACGGTCTCTGCAGCAAACTGCTGTCAATTACTGTGTTTGTCTCTTCAAAACAGCTCCTATAATTCTAAAAAAAATATACTGTTTAAATTTTGTGGTAGAAAATTTGAAAACAAACAAAAAACATTTAATCTCATATGAATTGTTGTATCATATTCCTTTGGTTATTATACATGTTGTTTTAATACAAATTACAGAATTTCAATCCAGAATCCTACATTTCTACTAAACTCTACAGCTCTACACAACATCAAGCACATAAAGAAACTGGGTTATACTTAAATATAATAGTAAGTCTACATGTATTTACCCAAGGACCCCACCCCTGTCCCCAGTCAGTGAGCATGCCCTGCTCATCTCTGATCTGTGACCAAGTCTGAGCCACCTTATGACACCCTGCCTGCAAAGGGTTAAAAAAAAACAACTAAATTTCTATTACGACAATTACTTTTTAATTCTCTTTGACCTTATATGAATAACTGAATCAAATTTGCACCAAACTGTCTTTTAGTTGCCCTTTTAATCAATACGTAGTCACTGAAAAAAATATCCCAGACTACAAACAACATATTTAAGTTTTACCTGTTTCATGGTAGCATTATAACTGTAGTCAGTTCTACCTTGCTCCTCCCATAGTATGAAATTACCAGTCACTGGACGGACAAATTCCTCACCATCATACCTTAAATCAGGGGAAAAAGAAATAAATAAGGCTACGACATGTGCAAACACAAACTTTGCAATAACATATGCACATGGTAATCATGCATATTAGTAAAAGTAAACAAACAAAGTGAATATTAACAAGGTTTCCACTGGTAATTGCTCTAAAACTTAACATATAGTTAACATGATCATGGAGAAATAACTGCACACACTACATGTACATATTTCATATTTCATACACTTACAGCTCTAACTGTGGCAGAAAAGTCTCACTGATAATTCATTTACAACATTAATCACAGTTTTGATATTTCCCATACACTTACAGCTCTAACTGTGGCAGAAAGTTGTGACTGCTGTCCACTCTAACTGGACATCCCAACCTGACCAGGTCATAATGGACAACCTGGGCGAGAAGAAGGAATTACAGACAGTACTGTATACTTAATATACTGTATACTTAAATTACTGTATACTTAATATACTGTAAATAGGACTTAGAGATAATAATAATAATAATCATAATAATGATAATAATAATAATAACTTAAAAATATATAGGTAGTTAAGTTATTAAAATGTATAGTACAATGTAAACAGATATGTGGACAGTTAAAAAATTTAAGATATCAAAACATAGTACAATGTCAAGATAACAGCCAGTCAAATCAGTTATAACACTTTTTTCAAATAAAAAATTTTAATTTATTTTAAAAATTGTAATCAGACTCTATGTTGGTAATTAAAAGCATTTTGAGAATGTAATTAATTTTTATATAAGTATATAAGAGTAACTGATTTAAATGTATTAACTAACATTTCTTCACAGTAAGGTAAGATATAAGTCTATTAAAGGCCAGTGAGGAAATACTGACTATGTATGTACTATATCCATGGCATGCAATGTTGACTGCCGGAGAGGTGTCACTGCATGGTGGGTATTTTCTTCAATTAAAATTTTGTTTTTGTTAATAATAAAATACAACACACTTATATAAAAACAATTAATTACACTCAAGTATGGGATCTAGACAAGAATAAACTAACCTTGTCCTGTGTGGGTGATGTCCCATCCAAATGCAGGAAATGTTCCCTGTAAAGATGGAATTGAAATGATTAGTTTAAATGCCAGTTTATTGCAAGGTTACATATCTCTCAAAAAATTCATTACGTTTTCAATAACACCATATAATGGAATACTAACTGATAAAACTGTCAAAGGTATTACATGGAATGAATAGAATGGAATGAAAATATTCCAACAATATATAAGGATTATATAAAAGCAACAAATTAAAGAGAGGTACTCACTTTCCAATAGTATATGTATCAACAGTATCACAGGGTTCACTTGCAGCTGGCCTAAAACATAATTTTTTAAATTCTGAATTTTCTTTTATAATTAATATTTTAATAATTATATAGATTATTTTAAATGCTGGCAAACCTTTGTCAATTCAAGATTACATCACAAGCCTAATCTAAAAAACAGAATGTCGATATTAATTACTTCAAACAGCTCCGAGCAGTCTCAATCAATATAGCTGACAAAAATAAATCATTCATTAATAAAACAAACTAAATAATTTAAAACTTAAGATTTGGCCCTCAATTCTTGCCAGGATAGGTAGTTTATCTATAATCAGAAGTTATTTGTTTTTATACTGAAAAAAGGTTAATTTACTCACCGTTTTAAAACCAGGTGTCTTCCCTTTGGACATCCCACAGACAGGTAGGAGACCTGGGGTAAAATCAAAATATTAAATTTTCTTGAAATTATTGGTGACAAAAATGCAAACTGTCCCCTCCCCCCCCTCAAAAAAAAAAAAAAAAAACTACTGAGTACAAAAAGTGCCCTCCAATAACCAATTTTGACAATGATCAATCACTCTGACTTTAGCAAAACTTCCACTTTCTGTCTTTCATTTGTAATAAACTTATTTATCACATACTTACAATCTGGGTAGGAGATGGGCATATCAGGTTGATATTTGATGGTATCAGCTCAAAGCAAGAGATACCTGTTGCAAGTTTTCTAAAATGATAAAAAAACCAATAATGTAACTATTTATTTATCTTACTAGTATGTATTTATTTATTTATTTACTAATTATCCTGTCTACATCTTATAAACATTATGTTCATAATATGCAGTGAGAATTTAAAAAATATTGAATGTCAGCGTGAGATTGATTTTGTAGAAAAGATATCTGGAAAAAATTCAATGTTGGATAAAACAATTTACAATAATGGGTTCTAGGAAATATCAAAGTCTGAATATTGTCAAAAGTTATCTTTTTAAAAAAAAATTGATTTAAGATTACTATTGCACTTACTTAGCAGTAGTGTAATTTGGGGACCTGTAAAAATCCATATGGTGGTAAAAGGTAACAGACTGGAAATGTAAAATAATATTTAAATCATTTTAAACTCCTCATACAAATAAGATAAACAGGGTTTAAAACATTAACCAACTACACATGGATGCTAGTCTTTCAGCTTTGATAGATCATATTCCCAAGTAGGACTTTTTTTCCAGAATTATTTTTATCTTCAGTAAGTACTTAAGTTTGCACCAAGTGTCATAAACAATTCTGTGCAATGCAGAAGTTTTATAAAGTTGTTAAAATTACCATTAACAGTGTACCTGTGCTTTTTAAAAAATCAAGTGAATACAATGTACGCAGCTATCATTTTTATTCCCTGGAACTAAACACCTAACTTGAATATCATACTGAACATATTACAGACCTTGTTATGAGCAATAACTCCTCTTCCATACTGAACATATTACTGAAATATTGTTATGAGCAATAACACCTCTTCCATACTGAACATATTACTGAAATATTGTTATGAGCAATAACACCTCTTCCATACTGAACATATTACAGACCTTGTTATGAGCAATAACACCTCTTCCCTACTGAACATATTACAGACCTTGTTATGAGCAATAACTCCTCTTCCATACTGAACATATTACTAAAATATTGTTATGAGCAATAACACCTCTTCCCTACTGAACATATTACAGACCTTGTTATGAGCAATAACTCCTCTTCCGTACTGAATATCAGAGTTTGCTCTGGACTTGACAAGAGTGGAGTTATGATTGAACATCTGGAACATATTTAATACAATATGCTCAAAATTTTCAATTTCAATCATTAATTTTTTTCAACACTAGTGCTATATAGCTGAAATTTAAGTTTCAGCACAGAAAATAAACTTTATCCATTTACCTTAAGAAACATTCAGCATTCTCTGGTCTGGGTGATTTCTCATAACCAGAAATACTTAATTATATAAACTAACTTAATTCCCCCAAATCTTGTACAGGTTCCTTTTTAATTTACCCCCCCCCCCTCCTCCCACCCCCACCACCACATCCTACCTGTAGAAATCCACTGTGGATATCAAAGAACACTAACA